AAATGGTGTAACGTTTGCTGATATGAGAGAGGTCGCAATCCTCGTCACAAATGGGTCTGCTGGCACGACGTGCTGTCAGATCCGTTATATTTTCCACATGTCGAGGGAGAGGTTAAATACCCGCCAGCGGCGAAACAGCAGATTTCGACCCTCTTTATCGAAACTTGCAAACCGCCCATCTGAGGTATTCTTTTCTTGCACAGGTGGTTGGTGTGCCTGCTCGTTTGTGATCTGATCCCTGGCACTAGAAGTATATGGGTTTCACTATCGCACCTGTTTGCTAGCTGTACATGAGCACTGCAAATACGACTTTTGAGGATGGCCAGTTCTCGAATTTAAGTTTCTATAGTTCGATCTTTTTATGTTCTGTACGGCTTGCCGAAATTTGCTAACATCAGTCCAATGAACGCAATAACTTTCCAAAGCTTTCTGAGGTATTTGAAATAGTCCACCTCTTCTGCCGCAATGTTATTCCATTGTATCGCCCAGCTGGTGGTAGCAACGGGCGTTCTCATTATTTTCGTCTTTTCGGTATTGCCTTGTAGCGCCTCTCTAGCCGTGTTGCACATGTTTTCCGTAAGTGTCACTAGGCCACTTGCGGGTTCGATTCGCTCATAGGCACCATGTCTTCGACGTAGTTAAAGTCCGTTAGAAGTACCTCTGGGTACATTGGGCATTGTTGCTGACCAATAGCCAGTCCGTCATTGTCATCTGAGTCGAAGTTCGTTTGCATCACGTAGTCTGCCATGGTCTTGAATAATGGAGAAGACAACACATTGTCTTTCGATGTTCAATCATACCATCAGTGATCCTTCGGTTCTGACGACACATTCTATCCTTTCGTACACCCGCTTTCTGTCTGGTTTGCCATCGTCTCTGAGATTTCGTAGAATGAAGAACACTATTATTTGACGATAAATCAAAAGCCTGAAATATAGAAACCTCTGCTACTAACAAGATAGTTGAAAGTTCCCGCACTGGTCAAAAATCTGTTTCAACACAGAGAACTTGTCAGCGGTTTTCATTGAGGTTCAGCACTGAACCAACGAGTCTGACATGACGAAGACCGTCTTGTACATTTTAGACATGACTGCTTTGAGAAACTTTCGTCCAAACGTTGATACAGATAGATGACAATTACGTAACCTGGTAATGTTAGCTAACCGTAACACATATCTAGGTTATGACTTTGGTAGCCTTCATCTTAATTAAAATAATGCATTAACTCGCGTTTTCATAATTACTGCTTATTTTGTGCGTGATCATTTGT